CATTAAATATTTAGGACTATTCTTGGATAGGAAATTATTGTGGAAGGATACTATCCGCCAAACTATAAAGAAATCGCAATAAACATCTTAAGAGCCTTTTGTCGAACTAAGTGGGGAGCAGATCCGAATATAGCCTTAATGTTCTATAAAACTATGGTAAGAAGCATTTTAGACTACGGCAGCATTCTATATGGTTCTGCAGCCAATGTACACAAAATCAAAACAACAGGAGATCACTTAAGGAGCCAACCACACATTTGTGGACTCGGCTAGCATTCCCAGTGCTTACTAGGAAAATATTAGCATCGCCACGGAAGTTTGAGAGATCGTCTTGCAAGGTGACAGTTATTTTTAAGATGTTTTGACATAGAGATAAATCATAAAAGAAGACGGAAGATCCAAGACGCGGACGCAATCAGTAGATTGTGTATAGATATTCCAGGAAATACTCCAGAATCTTTCTGGTGCAATTTAAACATTCAAAAACTAACTAGAATGGAGAATGGAAAATATCTAGTGAAGACAAAGGATATGATAAAAAATATTCTTCAACTGTATCATGATGATCCATATTCAGGGGGACATAATAGATAATACAAATGTTATTACAAAATTGGAAATTTATTAGTAAAGACCAGAGATAACCAGGAGATGTAACTATTAACAAATATCGTGCGGCCGTGAATAAGACATATTCTAAGGGACACAGTAGGGTATAATCACAATATATTGTGGGTATAATATCCGCTGTTGTCATTGTTAGTAAAGTGTATGTAATAAAATATTCGCTCAAGAAAACGATTCACCTCCCACTCTTTTGTCACATAGCTGAATTTTTCACAGATGGAAGGTCATGATAAGGTAACCCTTTTTCCGGAGTTAATACAAAATTAGACTGTGCAGAAGGGCACTATCATCAGAAATCCAGATATTGATACCACCGAATAGAGAAAACAATACTAATTTTTTGGTCAAATGCACAATAAAATCTTTGTAGGGAGTAATTGTTTATACTTATTTAAAAAAAATCATTTGCATTAGCACTTACGGCCGAAAAAAAATATAAACGTAAATATCTTGGTTTTAGCCCTTCAAAAATTTTGTTAAAAAGTCGTCTTTTTTAAATATACCACTCATTTAACAAAAAACGAAGGCCTAAATGAAAAAAAAACATTCTTTATAAAATTTTTGCTTATGTGTTGAGAAGGTAACAGAGTAAACACTATATTTTTTGCTTTTGAATTAACAAATATATAACAATAAACGATGAGAGATGTCATAGGTTTATGCTGTAATTAATTCTCACCGTCAAATTTATTGACTCTCAGTGTATCTTTCTCTTCACCTTCAAACGTAGCATAGCTCTGTTTCTCTCTACGTGCGGGCTGATGTATCACATTATTGATATGGTAGGATTTTTCATTTTTTTTATTATAAAACTTCTTATGTTCCATAGGGCAATGTGTCATATTGTTATCTGTTTTTACTAAAGAATTAATAAGTGTATGTGTTATATATTAAATTACCTAATAAATTGGGAAAAAATAGACATTTTTGCATCTTTATTATATCTACATTCATCCTGTTGCAGCTAAATATATTTGGGTAAGTTATAAGTTTTCGTTTAAAATTTTAATTACGGATTTGTTGCTGCAAGTAGCAGAGACAAAAATTATATCAAAATAGGAAAGCCCAAAAGTTGCATATCATTTAAAGAATATGCTCATATATTTGTAAACATTATTTTTAGAAATAAATTTAATGCTCAAATGATAGATGTGGCATTTGATCATTATAAAGGACATTCTATCAAAAATACAACACGTCAAAAGAGAGGATTTCAGAAATAAATTGATATAAAAATTGACCGACCCAATATTCCACTTCCGCAACAATAGAACTTGTTTATTCATTAGATATTTAACAAAAGACGTTTAACACATTTTCTGCCAGAGCAACTTCTTCAAAACTCCATTCAGCAAAAGCATATTCAATTTCTAACTAGTGGTGGATTCGCGAAAATCAATAAATATGGAAAGAATTTTGAACCATCAAAAGACGATTTTTTTAAATTCAAATCACGAAGACGCTAATAATCGTATCTCATTGCACATATTGTCAGCCAAAAATTCGGTGCATTCACGCTGCATTATTTATTGCAACGATACAGATGTCTTATTAATTTATTTTAAGAAGTTTTTGACTAAAGATATATGGTTCAGAACAGGGCGAGGAGACTCAAGACGATTTCTAGCAGTACATTATTTAAATTTGGATGATAACCTTCTAAAAAATATGCCTGATTTTCATTCTGACCGGTTGTGATACAACCATTTAATTGTCCGGCATTGGGAACAAAACCTGTTAGAAAACCTACCTTGAAAACCATTTGGATGGATTTGGCACTGATCAGTACTCTGAAAACATATTCTCTAATCTTGAAAGAATTTTCCTAAAAATGTATTCAAAACTGCCAATGTTACTTTCATTAACATTTTGAGGGGATTATTGACCTCTTCAAAAACCATCGCTAAATTACCACCGACTGAAGACGCCCTAAGACTACATTGTTTAAGATGTTTTTACCAGCTAACTATTTGGCTAACCTCTTTAAACCCAGATGCAGCTTCCTAATGTTGAAGAGTATGGATGGACAGTAGATCAAGATGGAAGTCTGATACCCACTTTTAAGACTCTGCCCGACCTGCCACCAGACATAACAGAACTTACATCATGCAAATACAAAAAACATACTATACAATATTCTAACAATAATATTCTGTTCTAGACTGTGTAGGCAAAATTTGCAAATGCAGGAAAAAAAATATTTACTGTATCGGTTCCTGCACCTGTATGGCACAGAAAAACTGTAGAAATAGTTTGACCACAGCCGCTAATGTTGTGGAAAATGTTGATTCGTGTGGTGAATCTGATTCTGATTAGTTTGAAAGTCTTGTAATTATAAATTTTAATATTATTAATTTATGCTTTATATACTTCCTTCCAATTATTATTATTATTATTATTATTATTATTATTATAATTTATTTATATTGGGGATTTATTGTATTTTGCAAAGCAATAGCCTTACTGTTTATAATTGATACTTCAATAAATACCTTTAATAAATAGTTTATATTTTCTTATTTTCATTTTACATTAAAAATAAAAAAGAAATCTTGAAGTAATTAGTACACCCTATTAAACATGGTGGATAAATCAATAATCCCTGTATAAAATAATATAAGAGGGGTCAAACTGATTGCATACATTTCAATACTGAGATAGATGCATAAAGAGTCGATAGGCTCTGCCTTTAATGTTTGCTTTCTAGTAAAACCATGACATCACTAATGGTTTATTGCTATATTTTTGTTAATATGAGGAAAGTACTTTTACCTTGTCAATACATAGGCGAAACTTTTATAAGGAATAGTTTTTTTTCTTTTAGGCCTTCGTTTTTCGTCAAATGAGAGGTATATTTCTAAAAGAAGATTTTTTATACAAATTTGTAGACGGTTGAAACTGAGACATTTAAATTTTTTTTTTGATCATAAGGGCTAATGTAAATGATTTTTTTAAATAATTATAAAAAAATACTTCCTACAAATACTTAATTGAGCATTAGAACAAAAAATAGGCATTTTTAACCAAATTAGATGTAATTTCATTAAATTAGATGTAATAATTTTCAACAAATTCCAAAACCTAGTGATGTTAGATTGGAAGTGGCAACAGGGCTTACACCGGCAAGAAAAGTTACGTTAAGTAGTAAAAGCTCGGGCAGTTATTCATTGATAAAACTATGTAAAATTCTTCACTGTATCCCTTCTTTTACTTTTCACCTTTCGTCGCCTCGCCCCGCGTCTAGAAATAGAATGTTTTGAGTGCGAACTGTTCTTGGCACCATGAATATTATATTTTATGAATGACTTCTTATATCTCTGTTATCTCTGGTAAAGACATAAAAGAATATATTAAAGCCTGCTCTATCTGTCAACATGTAAAATTTAAATATTTTCCCAAACCAAATTATGTTCATGTAACTTCAAACTCTCAAAACCCTTTCGATACAATACATATCGATTTTACAGAAATGTGTAAAAATGCAGAAGGCAACAGAATTACGAAATCTTTTATTGTGGTAATTGATGAGGCACCTAGATATGTTGCTGCAAAAACAATAAAAGAATCCAGTATTGCTGTGAAAAAAATACCTTGACAAGCATCCTTTTATTAATCGAACAAAGAACATAGTAAGCGATTGTGGAAGTGCTTTCACTTCAAAAGTTATCAAAGAATGGGTTACAAAAACGGCATTAACTTAATAACGACTACGCCGGACCATTCAGCAGGAAATGGCATAGCAGAAAGGGTTATACGAGATTTTAAGAACTTCATGAGTTGTTGTAATAACTTTCCAGGGCGGAGGATGGAAAGTTGTATTGGAATGTGCCGTACAGCATCACAACTATTCCCACGATGAATACTTGGGATGTTCATATTTTAAGTTGCATGGGAAAAATAAAATTTTACCTGCACTTAAAGAACTAGGTATAAAAATCGACATTGAAGAAAAAGCTAAAAGCGTAGAGAAGCAAATAAAATACAAACAAAAAATTCAAGAACAAGCTAATAAATATAGAAGAAGAAAGCCATCTTAACTTAAACAAGGAGATTGGATTTTAGTTCAAAACCAGAAAATTGGTAAAGAATACGTCATAACCAAAGGTCCTTTCCAAGTTTATGAAGTAAAATACATATCAGCAATATTCACCAATTTTATCACAGGAGTGATAACTTCTTAGAAGGGGAGACTGTGTAAGACATGCCGTATATTACGCTATGTACAAATAAGTGCCGCTTAAACATGTTTAAATTTTGATTTAATAAACCGTCATTTTTTAAATAGTTTTTTTATTATTTCATCATACTCTACAGCCTAAAAGACACCTACACCTATTAAAGCGTTTTAGTTGAAATGTAATTAATTTTTTTAGTTGATCAGCGATCTCGAAGAGGTGATCGCACTAGCCACAGAAGACGATCAACACAAGCTTCCAAATTGGTTCTGGGTAAATATAAATAATAATTTATTAATTTATTTATTTTTTAATGGCCTGTTCGGCTTCAACAACTTAGGCCATAAGCCTCGTGTTTTATGTAAGTTATAAAGTACTACTACTCTAATGCTCCATAAAGTAGCAGTGGTAGTAAGTACTCTAATACACTCCTACATGCCTACAGGCCTTGTTACTGTTTCTCAGCGCCACTTTAGGAGCAAAATTGTAATTTTTCTATTGAACAACATTTTTTTTAATCTTGTACTCATTCCAGATCCGTCAGCTGTTCCGCGATCAGCAAACAGTCTGTTTGGATATTGCGACTTACAGGCTTATGAAGAACGTTGGCAAGAACATGAATCGAGTAAATATACCGATAGCTGATTACAATTTCAAAGATGATTATTCTACTATATGCGTTTGGTTGCGCGTACAAAATCCAATACCTCTGACCAATCCGAGGAGACCACCAAGGTGAGTAAGTGTTCTCATTTATCTCTTAGTAATCTCACTTCCAATCCCACTGCCACTCCCACTTAAAAACCCAACATAGATATGTATCACTTTCCTTTAAATTATTGCCTTTTTGACATCTCGTTGTTAAGAAATCAAATAGTTTTGGCTATATAGACCGAGGCGTTATAGGTGGCCTATCCTGTATATCGATGGTTTTCGAGAAAAGTGACATAAATCAAAAGTCTAAGAATTCGCGTTAAAAGCGCTAATATCAATAATATAACTTTAAAAACAATAAAAATAAAAGTTTTAACAATTATATAAAAATAAAATATAATTGAAACTAATTCTCAAATTGATGTAATGACGAAGAAAATTGAGAAATAAAATACAAGCCGAAATTTCAAATAATATAACAATATACCATTGTCTACCTTCTTTACCGATGATTTTAGTTCACGCATTCTTTATAGAGCCAATCGACTTGTTCCCATCAAGGATCTTAAACATTCTGTTCGGAATATAGTTTTGATCATTTAAAGCCAAACGGAAGATGAAATCTGTACCTATTCAAGAGTACCTGTAATTAAAATAATGGCAACATTGACAATTTGCACTCTTTATGTATTTGTGACTACATCGTATTTTAGATTTTTTTGTTTTATTTCATAAAGCTGTAAAGTCATTTTGTATAATTTTCTAAACTGTTCGAGAAAAATTAGAATTATTATTAATTAGGATTGACTGACCTCGGCATACCCTGTCAAGGTTATGCCGACGACATAGTCATATTTGCTAGTGGCAAGTTTAGTAATATCCTGTGTGATATAGTCCAAAGAGGACTAGAACATACCAAAAGATGGTGCCGTGAAGTGGGACTTAGTATAAACCCTACAAAAACAACACTAGTAGCCTTTTCAAGGAAAAGAAAACTTAATCTCAAAACCGTTAAATTAGACGGGATAGATATAGAATGGAAAAATGAAGTCAAATATCTAGGCCTAACCCTGGACAACAAACTTCTCTGGAACACACATGAGAAGGAAGTAGTAAATAAGGCCACAAAAGCCCTAATGGTATGCAGAAACATGGCGGGTAAACGATGGGGATGTAACCCAAACATACTGCGATGGATGTATACTGCAATAGTGAGACCAATCATCACTTACGGGGCTATAGCCTGGAGTAACAGAACTAGTTTAGTTACTACGAGAGCTAATATCTCAAAAGTACAAAGACTAGCCTGTGTTTGCATTACTGGTGCAATGAGAACCTGTCCTACGGCCGCAATGGAGGTGATCTTAAACCTCACCCCTCTACATTTGATGATAGAGAATGTGGCAAAAAGGACACGATATAGAATGATCAGGAGCGGAGTAATCAGACGAAAGTCTACTTGATTCAGGACTAAAGATACCTGGGACATGCCCCAGGATGAAATGCAAAAGAAGTACAGTTTTGTGAAAAACTTCAAAACCACAGAGCTGGGCTGCAAGAGAGAATGGAGCCAAGAATCCATCGCGCTTGCAACCGAAAGACGTGCTATTCAGTGGTACACGGAGGGTTCCAAAACCATAGAAGGAACTGGAATAGGAGTGTATGGGCCGAGAACCAAGCAGTCCGAAAGCTTGGGAAAATACCCAAGCATCTTCCAGGCGGAAATTCACGCCATCGAGAAGTGTATCCAGTTTAACATCGAGAGAAACTATCATAGACAAGAGATTATCATCATGTCCGCCATCAAAGCGCTGAGTTCTTACGTAATCAGCTCAAAAATGGTATGGAGATGCCTAGAACAATTGAATGAGCTAGGCGAGAAAAATAGAGTTACTCTCACTTGGGTCCCGGGACATAACGGGGTACAGGGTAACGAGATTGCAGATAGTCTTGCAAGGAAAGGGGCTCAAACACCCTTTGTAGGACCTGAGCCGTTCTGCGGTATCAGCAGTAACATAATATTAGAAGAGATTAAAAAAGAATTGGGTAGTAGAAGAACCGATAATTGGAACAATCTCTTGGGGCTGAGACAGGCCAAGATACTTCTGGGTGAATATAACCAAAAAAGATCGGAAGCCTGCATCTGCCTGAGCAAGAACAGGCTACGTATTGTAACAGGGATCCTTACCGGGCACTGCCGACTAAAAGGACACCTAAGTAAACTGAGAGTAGTAGAGGATAGTGAGTGCAGATTCTGTGAGGAGGAGGACGAAACCTCCATTCACATCCTAACTGAATGTGTAGCACTCCAGAATCCAAGGGCACTATATCTAGGAGGATATCAAATAGAAGAGGGAGACTTACCTAACTTGAAACCACTTCAAATCCTACACTTCCTTGAGAAAATAGGATTGGAAGGGTCGCTATAGGCATTGAGACATTTCCTTAGTGCAGTGGCGACAGAAGGGGGCACAATAGATCTTTTAGGTCGCAGTGTATTAACACCCCATTATCAACATAACATAACATAATTAGGATTAGGATTTGTATTAGAAGCGACTAACTTTTTTTAATATAAAATATCATTTGACCATTTAAATAAATATTAATGACGTCATAGTTTCGTGAAATAGATAACACACTGTTTTTATTAATTATGATTTGCATTTAAAAAGACTAATTTTTTTAATATAAAATATCAATTGTTCCATTTAAAAAAAATATAACTGACGTTCATAGTTTCGTGAAATAAATAACACACTGCATATATGGCTTTAAAAGAAAAATTTACTCACGACCTGTCAAACAATAGTTGCTAGTGAGCAGGGCTCTTATATCTAAGATGGTTGCGACATAATCTTTCTTCCATCTTGGACGCTATTTTTACTCGAATAGTGCTCGCCAAGCCTGTCAATTTATGAAAAATGTATATTTACTTTTTTAATAATATAAAAAATTATTACGACTTCTGGTTTGAAAAGTCAAAACCTTATCCACAAAGCCAAAGTAGAACGAGTTTAATGGTTTTTGCAACAAGAGTTGATATGGACAATCCACTCGAGTTGTACAGTATATTTTTTCTACGACCCACTAACGAAAATCTACAAATTTAATAAATTATTTTAGGTTTTTAAGACAAAATAACTAATTTTAAAATAATTTATGACTTGACCCAGACCTCTCGCGTGGAAGACAAACGCCCATGTCCTCACCTCCATCGCCACACTTACGATTTTGGTTTTAATACTCTTAATTAAATTAGTTGTATATAGGTAGATCGATTAACATTTAAGATTTATTTGTAAATGTAGACAAAAATAAAAAGAAGTGCAATTTATCGATTCTACAAAAGAATAACTCATTTTTACGTATATTTAATTTTAATAAGTAAAGAGCGGAATATATGCAAAATGCATATATATGCATTTTTTGCATATTTTACCAAAGTTCAAAAAATATAGCATATTTTACCAAAGTTCAGAAAATTTGAGAAAATATTCCATATTTTCAAAAAAAATTACTATACTGTGCAAATTAGAAACTGTTTTAACAGAATATACAGATATATTTAAAATAAAGACATTTTGAATTTTTGGATTTGTTGTTTTTAAAGTGTCCTAAAATATCGAGAATTTCTTCGTGGATTATTAACTTTCTAGAGTTGGAAATCAATAGGGATAAAGTTTTTGGTAAAGCTTGTACCAAAATAGTTGTTTGTGAAAAAAAGTTCAAAGTGGTTCAACACGTGAAAACATCATTGCATAAAGCCAAATTGCAAAAAATGAAATCACAATCGGTTCAACAATGCGTTATAAGGTCATTTCAAAACGCCGACAAAACAAAAAGTGACAAGGAGGTATTTAATCAGGACTTGTGCAAAGCTCTTGTTGCGGCAAATATTCCATTAAAAAATTTACAAAACCTACATCTAAGAGAATTTTTACAAAAATATTGCAATAAAACCATTCCTGACGAATCTACACTCAGAAAAAAAAATATATGCTATACCAGGTGTCCGTGCGAAAACTTTAAATGGAATTATTTCTGGTGTTTAAAAATATATCGACTTGAAATTTTGGAAGGTCATTAAGGAAGTAGGGGGTAAATTAATAGTGCATAAGATACCACTCCAACATGATATCTGCCGCCCCAGCCACCCCCGGTTCAAAAGTTTAAATGACACCCTGTATTTTTTTTACATATTCTGAAAGAGCGTAGTTTTTTTAGTATCTCTATGTGAAAAAATTACTTAATTACATAATGAACTTTGAAAGATATTTACAGCTAAAGGTTCAGATACCAGATATTAAAAAAAAGAACTAGTAACCTTGGACAGTAGACAAATTTCGAAATAATTAAAGCAGATAGAAACAAAAAAATCTAATTATCCAAAAAAATATAACTTATCACAAAAAAATACAACTTATCACAAAAAAATACAACTTATCACAAAAATAGGTATTCTTATAGACCAAAAAAATTTCGCTTTATAAACTAAAGTAAGGACTCTTTTTATTTTTTTAGTTAAATCAAATGTTCAAAATGTTCACCGTTTACATTTAAAAAATAGTACAGTCTATTCTCGAAAGCGTTCCGAATATTTTCAAAGACATGTGGTGTTAAATCTCTACATTCCTCTATGATTCTATTACGCAAATCATCAATGGATTGTGGTGGTCTCCTGTAAACAACAGACTTCAAATGTCCCCATAAAAAGAAATCCAGTGGGGTCAAGTCTGGGGAGCGAGCTGGCCATTCAATACGACCCCTACGACCTATCCATTGTCCTGGAAAAACGATATTTAAATATTGCCTTACTTCTAAACAGTAATGAGGGGGAGCTCCGTCTTGCTGAAAGTATAACTGATTCTCCTGCATTTGATCTAAGTTTTCTTCCAAGCACTGAATGATAAGAGGATGTATTAATTCTTCTAAAAACTCTAAATATCTAGGCCCAGTTAAATTCTCGTGATAGAAAATTGGACCAATTATTTGGTTATTTAGAATTCCAGCCCATACATTAATTTTTTGGGGACGTTGCGTATGGGCTTTTCAGAAAACGTGGGGATTAACATCGCTCC